GTTTCCAGCGTCTGAGCTAGTTCTTCTGAGGTGAGGGTGACTGGGAAATAGAAGTCATATTTTTGTCCTGAAGGAGGTGGATGTTGAACTGTATTTTAAACTGTGGAATTAATCAGAAGCCCTGGCTCATTAGAACTCATCTTCATTTCAAGCTTCTGCTGACAGTTCTGTTGCTGGAAATCCTCATCTGAGTAATTCTAGAGCAGGATCGGGTTTGGTTTGGTTTCTGAGAGAGCTCTGCTGAGCAACAGGTTCCAGATCTGTTTTGGTTCTTGAGCCTTTAGGTCAGTGACGTGCCTGTATCTTCAGTAGAGTGAACCTCACATCCTGGAGTTCGGCCTCTGGAAATGAATGAGACAGATGGACGGGAACTGACGGGGGTACGGTGGGGAGCAGAAGGAACAATCTCTCAGGATTTCCACAAGTATGAAAGTCACTCATACCAGGCTTAACCAGGAATGGGACTGGGCACTGAAGATCGGCACTAACCGGGCAGCCCACAGGCACTGCCTTCCACTTTTGTTCCATTGCTAGAACAGTCTGACTTATTCTTTGACCTGTATGATGTTTGGAGATGTGCCTTGAGATGAAAAACTGGATTAAGGTAGGGGGCAGGATATGCCATTAAACTGAGGGAGAGGATATCTAAAACACAGTGAGCTAACATTTGCCTGTGAACCTATGTCAGTGTTTGTTTCTAAAGTGATTGCCAGAATCTATCACCAATCAGTAGAGACAGAGGACAGGAACCCAACTCTCCCACCCACTAGCTCCTTCCTCCACCGCCCCCCCTCCCCACAGGCTGGAGGGGGTGTGGCTTGGCTTTTGAGCCCCTCTCCTGCACCCCTCAAGTGGACGGGACAACGTGCGTCAATGTCTTCCCTGGCTCTCTAGCGGGCACTCTCCTTGCCTCGGCTCCAACATGAGGGCGGCTCCACTATCGGTGTAGAGCCCCCCCACTCCTGCCCTGTCAGCGGTTACTGTCCGCTTTTTGGAGAGGGGAGAGGGAGGCCCTGGTGTGGCTAAGACCAAGGAGGAAGGGTCTGGGCCCATTGTTCACACCTCCAACCCCCACGGCTAGCGGTCCAGAGGCTTCCTAGGTTTCAGCCCTGCCCCTCACAGGATCACAGCCATGACAGCTGAGCTGTCCAGGAGACTTGCACCAATCGGGGGCCTGCACTTGGACACGGCCTGCAGCTGTATATAAGCAGCACTCCCCTTGCTCTTCTGATATAGCCTGAGGGCTCCCTCTAGTGTACTGACCACCCAGGCCCTGCTGAAGTGCAGACTTGCCTTGACAGTTCTGTAAACCTGCTCATGATCTATTTATTGAGTACACTTGGTCCTTTCAGAGGAGAAAGCAACAAGCTCTGAGGGTTGTTAGCACTGAAGACTCCAGAGGTCTTCAGTCAGTGAAGGTTATCGGCAGAGAACAACACCACTGGAGTTGGCCTACGGTGCCTGGCACAAGACGGCGTCAGATGGTGGCAGCCGGCAGTGGCAGTGAGCCACAGCTGGATGTGTCTAATCTGACTGGTGAGATAGAAGATTGATTATTTTTATGGTAGGATAGCTGACAAAGAGCTGCTGTTGTAATGAGTTAGACTTGTATCTCATCTTGGACTATCACTGACTAGCCAGGTATTCACCAGCGGCTTAACATTGCACTGATGTCAACTTTTACTACAATGAGTCATTACAAAAACCAAAGGAAAATAGAAATGCTTTGGTGATAATATGACAAACATTGTAAATTACACTGGTTCCCTCAAAACTTCTACAGCCTTATGATGAAAATATAAGAGAAGTAAAACAAGAATCACAGGCCAAAACTTACTATGCATGACACATTTTCCTACTTATGGAAAGAGAACGTAGACTGTTGAGGATAGACTAGGCAGAGCTATATAATTTTATTCTGAAATAGACAGAAATCGCAATAGAGAATATGCTAAAACTTAAGACAAGTATGGCATTCAAAAGTCCATATCCTTCCGTATGAGTAAACAACTGTTTAATACACTTTATTTTTTGCAGTGGTTTTAAGTTTATAAAGAATTGTAGAGAAAGTGGAGTTTCCGCGTTCCTTTTCCCACATTCTCCAGTCAGTTTCTACTATTATTATCTTCTCTCTAAATGTGGTAACTTGTTATAATTAATAAAGCAATATTTATACTTATTATTCACTAAAGCCCATAGATGTTAGGCTTACTCTGTTCCACAGCTCTATAGATTCTGATAAATACTGAAAGTCATATATCTACTCTTTCAGTTTCATGCGGGATACTTTCCCTGACCTAAAAATGCTCTACGTTCTGCCTACTCCTCCCGTCTTTCCTCCCTCTGGACTCCTCCCTACCAACCACTCATCTCTTTACTGTTTCTGTAGTTTTGTCTTCTCCGGGATGTTCTCAGCTATAATCATAGCGTATACAGCTTTTTCAGGCTGATTTCTTTTACTCGGCTACGTGCACAGAAGTTTTCTGTGTGTCTTGTCATAGCTTCAGAATCGTCATTTCCTTGCTTGTCCTTACATCAGGTTATTTTGCTCCTTTCTTTTTCGAGTTTTTTGAGGTAGGAGCCCAGATTGTTGATTTTTGACCTCCACTCTTTGTCAACGTATACTCTAAATATATTTTAAGCACTGCTTTAGCTGTGTCCCACAAATTTTGACATGTTGTTATTTTCATATTCATTTAGTTCAACGTATTTTTAATTTCCCTTGAGAAGTCCTTTTCACCCAGGAGTTTCTTAGAAGTGTGCTAGCAATTTTTCAAGTGTTTGAAGTGTATTGGTTGTCTATATGTTGTCGATCGCTAGTTTAATTTCATTGCATCCAGACCTCTGCCTGCATCCAGTGCTTTAACCTTTGCTGAGGTTCCTTTTATGGCCCAGGATACACTATGACTTTGTCAATGTTCCGGAGGCACTTGGAAAGAATATTCATTCTGCTGCCTTTTGGTAGCATAATCTTTAAGTGTCAATTAAAGCCTATTGATTAATGGGGTTGAGTTTTATATTCCTGCTGAATTTCTGTTTGGTTATTTTATTCATTGCTCAGAGAGAGGTGCTAAAGTCTTCATGTGTAATTGTGGATTTATCTAGTTTTTCTTTCATTTCTATTGGCTGTAGCCTTACTTATTTGCAACTTAGCTGTTTGGTGCATACACATGTGGGATTGTGACATCTTCTTTGTGGATTAAAACTCTAATATTTAAAGTCTCTCTAAACACTCTTTGCTTTATTGTCTCAATAATGTTAAGTGAAATAAGTCAAGCATGCAAGCTTAAAAACTTCTTTCGAAGTTAGTGTTAGGATTTGTGCTTAGAAGTTCCCAGAGCCTCCTGCTCTCTCAGAGGAGGCTGAGTCTAGAGTGTTGCTTGATTTATGGTGGGGCTGGCTCCGAGGTCACCAGGATGAAGGGTGTGGGTGCCGCAGTCCTAAGAAGTCTGAAGAAGATAAAAGGGGCAGAATTCCCTGTTAAGGTCCCTCGCTGCTCTGCTGTCTTCCGCTGCCCTGAACTATTATCCCTCTGCCACCCGCCTTGGGGCCAGCCCAATGTGGGCTAAAACCTCCACGAACTGCAAGCCAAATAGACCTTCCTACTTTAACTTTGGGTGTCAGGCATTTTGTCTCGACCACGAGAGAAAAGTAACTAAGACAGTTGGGAAGTCATTATTCCTTTAAAAACACTTTTAGTACCATCCATTTTTCAATCTCCTTCTGAGACTCCAGTGAAACAAAGTTAGTATCTCTTGTTATACTCCCACTGGTTTTTCAACAGAAATAGTAATATGTTGAACAACTTTACAAAAATGAAATTGTAAGTAATGGATAAATTATTCAACATGAACACTTTCCCCAAACTGACAAGTGACGTGAAATATAAGGATTCCACATGCGATCGAGATGATAACTTTATTTTGTAAATCTTTCCCACAATAAAACCCCAAGTTCAATCTACTTCAGTAATTGTAATCTTTAAGGAACAAATACCACAACTTACACTCACCCTTTTGTTGTTGAATGGTGTTACAGTGTATAAGCATAGGATGTTTTGTTTGTCATTTCACTACTTGGCTGCTGTTAGGATTGTTTCCCGGTTTGCCTCTTGTGGCTAATGCTACTCTTCACGTTTGTACACATATCTCGTGGAGGGCACTTGTTTCCATTTCTTTTGGATATTTTTCTTTAACTTAAATAGCAGCTGAAAACCAAGGCGGGGCACATAAGGAGCTGTATGTGATGGTGGAGAGATTGTGTTCAGATGATTACTTCTCTAAAATAAACTCCCAAGTTGATTATTTGTGTTTTTATTTGATTTACATTTGAAGTAACTGAACCCTCAGAGGGAGCACAGCAGAACCCTTCTTCTCGACCAGTTCTCATGGCCTTCTCCGGCAAACATTCACTGGTTACAGCGGGATGATGACAAGGTCTACACATTTAGATTTGCAATTATAATTACAAAATTATATCAAAATGTATAAAACGTGTTTACTTGCCTTTTTAAGCTTGCTTCTCATCAAGTTTTTATTATTTTGTTTTTTTTAATTAATTTTATTGGTACATTTAAGGTGTACAGTATAATGAGATTCGTTGTTGGAAATTTGCACTTTTACATCATCAATCTTGGTTCTTATTTTTTCCCCATCCCTCTGCCCTCCCTTCAGCCCCCATTAATTTGGGTTGAGATTTGGGGCCCTGACTTTTTAAGCTTTTCGTCTCATTTTTAATTAACAAGTAAAAATTGATAAATAAAATTATTTATGGTGTACAGCATGTCGGTCGATAGACAGATGCTTTGGGGGATGGTTAACGGCCTACTAAAGGGGCCAGAGAGAAATAAGAGCAGGTCCTGGAGTCTGCACTGGGGCGTCTAGGTCCGGGGTGGGTGAGGGAGCCTCCGGAAGGACACATTCTGTGGGGTCACTGAACCGGGCCTCTGTGGAGGAATAAGAGCCGAGCAGGGAGCCTGGCACAGTGTAGCGAGGTAGAAACACTGGTCCACCCTTCAGTGTCGTCACCTTCCCTTCAGCTCAGAGATCCTGGAGAAGACAAAAGAAGGTGGCGTTTCCAGACCTGGCTCCGCTTGGCTCCTTTTCCCTTCTCAGGACCCCGCTTCTCAGCAAGAGCAGAGAAACATTCTGAAGTCTCCAGAGCCAAGGCTGCTTCAGAGCACAGCCTCTTATCAAATGAATTTAGTGCAAACTTCCAGATCAGGAATCTGGCCCGGAAGTCTTTCCTACTGTTTCTGTCTTGGGTTTTGTCACCTCTGTCATCTGTTGCAAGGAAAGCAAATCTGCCTCTGAGCGAAGGTTAAAGGACATTACCTGTTGGCTGAAGTCCAGGGTGTGCTGGGAAAAGAAAGGAAGATACTTAAAAGGCATGGACACAAACTCCTCTCCCACAGACAGTGCTCCCAGGACCAGACGGACACCTGAGCTCTCTCTAACCACACAATCACACCAGCCAGGGCAGGCCGAGCACAAACTGAGGGTGTGTGACCGGGAAGCCTTGTCCCACCAACGCGGTGTTTAGTGGCTCCTCCTTTATTCGTTCCAGTTTCTTATCGACCTTTCTTTTATCTCTATAAGCCATAAAACTTTAGTAAACATAGACTTGATTTCTGTATCTCCAGGAAATTTGAGATTGACTGAAAAAAGGAAGGCTTAATACAGACCCGTGGATATGCTGATAACTAATCTGAGAAAAATCTATATCTTTCTCCAGAGATAGGGGGAATGATACAGAAATTCTTAGTTACCAACAGGCTCCTTACCTCCAGAAGTCCTGAAGTTGATGAACAGTCCCATCCCAAGAAAAAGCAGACCCAGGCCAAAGGTTATAGCTCCACTCAGCATCTTATTCTGTGCAGATCCAGACTGTGCTTCTGAAAGAAGCCAGGTTTAGTGATTTTTGGTCTTAAGCCCACCTTAGACTCAGGATTGTGCCTGCACTAGAAATGTCAGAATTGGCTATTCTTAGAGAGATGTAGAAATCACAAGGAATTGGTACAACATTTAGGCCTTGAACTCATTTAAATACACCAGCCTTGAACTATCACCTGATTTTTAAAGGATCTGGGACCCAGTGAAGCTTCAGAGCCTGTTTGGGGGTGAAGACAGGGCTAAGAGTGGGATCCTCTCATGTTAAGAGGACCTGGATGGGTCCTCTTTTCAAATTACTAGAACAGCCTAGAGCAGCAGCATCAGAAACACAAGTTCAACCCACAGGCAGGGCCTGGAGCATTGAGTATGTGGTCACTATTCTGGAAAGGTCAGCCCCATTGTATGAGGACTGGTTCCAACGTGCCCAGTGAAAGACAGGCAGACAGGTCCAGGGTGGCACAGGTGCAATTTACTGTAGGACTCAGTGACAGATGTGCGGTGCTTGGCAGCAGCATGAGCAAGTGGATCTCTGCAATTTGGATTAGAAAGAGGCATCTATGCATTAGTTAGGAGCAAAAGTGACTTCATCCAAGACAAAACATAGCTGGTTTACTCTAAGATAATAACAAAGAGCTAGGGACCTCTACAGCACCAGAGCCTGGGTTTAAAACTCCATGTACTATACACTAGTGCACACACTAGTGCTTTTGTCTATAGTTTTCTGGGGAATTATGCAGAAAAAAAAAACCAACTAGGGTTACTCTAGGATCATCATGTTGGTAAAAACTCAGGTTGGCTTAGTTGGGTCAGGCTGAAAACACACATTCCACCTCTTGGAAGTGGCTTCTCCAATCTCATGCAAACCCTCTTCTGAAACATGCTCTGTGTCTGTGGAGGGTTCTAGGGTTGTGTGGGAAGCATGCGATGAGACCATTTTTCTGGTTCATAAGCAGGGTTCACAGCAACAGCAGAAACACTGCACAAAAAGAGACGGGGAAACTACTGGGTAAAGGAGGGTAACCATCAGGTTCTTCACCAGGAACCTAACAACAACTTAGTGTGTGTCCCACAAAAGGGACAGAACAAGGCACTGATTTGGGTTTTTTACACTTGACATGAGGTGTGTGATATTGGGGTGCACACAAAGCAATTGGTTTTGATATCAGCACAGGCCCCAGGGAAAACAGCAAAGCCAGCAAAAGACTGAAACTGCAGCTATGGGTGGAAAATAAATGCTTTGCAGGGACCTTTAAAGATAAATCTACACCACCCATAAAGAATACGGGTGGCACCATCTCTATGAAACAGCACAGGGTGGCTGCTAGTGGCCAGTGTGACGGAGGATACCACTCATGTTGGCCAACAGGATGGGACCCGTGAGTAGCTCCTAAACCTACTGATGAAATGATTCACCAGACCAGGAGGCTGACTGCAGAACATGGAAGTATTCTTTAGCCCACTGAGGGCATCACCTATAACCACAGGCCCATATGCCAACAAGATCAAAGTTTGCTGTGAACAAAAACCTACCGAGAGCTTCTGTCCTCAGTCTTCCCATTGGCCAATCCGATTTTCTCCTACTTCAAACCAGATAAAATCTCAACAGGTTGCACTACATCATTAGTCCGTACACGTGGGTCCTCTTCTGACCCCATCTGTACACCCAGCATTCCCTGTTATGGAGGCCACCCCCTCATGCACTTGTGAGATTGTGGGCACTGCGCCGGCTACCAGCAGCAGCTGCCATGTTGTGTGACAGAGGTTAAGTACTGAGGTAGTTTTGTAGGTAACTGGGCCCTGCACTCACTGGGCCCCTGGGAGTTAATCAGCTATTGGAGAAGACCTTGAATTGATGTAAATACATACACTGTATCACTTCTTTAGATTAAGGGCTGCACTATACCAGGCTGAGGCTAGTGAAACAGGCCATCCGCCCACCCTTGTAGAGGTAGACCAGTTCAACAATGACCAATACAGTCTTGGTCAGTGGCTCCAACTGTAGTAGGGCATTGCTAGAAACTGCTGTTCTAAAAGGAGAAATAACTTTCCAGCTCCTTCCAGAATGGTGACCTAAGACTTGACCTTGTTCTTGCTAGAGCCCAACTCATACTGTCTTCTGCACTATGACATCTAACTGTATTGGCAGTACTGGGATGGGGGTGCCCAGAGCCTGCACCTGATATATCAAATATTTGCTTTTTAAAAAATGCTTTCTATTCCCATGTTGTTCCCTTCTTCAGAAGCCAATATAGTGGGCATAAGCACTGAGCTACATAAGAAATGAAAGCCCATCAATAACCAGGAGTTCTACAAAAGCCTGTGTATCCTTCTCCATACAGGAAACAAGTTTTTTGTTTGTTTGTTTTGCATTGTGCCTGCAATCGAATGGATCATGTTCTACCACGCCACTACCAGAACCTTGAATCTTGTTGGAGTTGATAAATCTTCCTCTCATGCACAGGTGAATATGCCTTCTACTGTGTTTTATCACAGAGTGATCTTTACCAGTTATCATATTATGCAAATAATGAAACCTTTGGTGATATCAAAGAGAATATCCAGTGCCTTTCCTCCCAAGTGAAAAAAAGCTGATTGTGTGAGTCTGGAATCACTCTTCAAGATCCATCCAGCTTCTTCACTGCCCAGAAAGGAGTACAGAAGGCTCTGTGAGCAGATCATAAAGACCCAGGCCACTGTAACTCTTTGTGGTCACTCCTATCTCAGGGTGTTCACCCGGAAGGTTATACTGTATGGTATTTATTATTCTTCTGGGAACACCAAGGCTGCCGGGGACTCATTTTGCTTTCTCCCTAACACTATCTTTGCTACCAAAACTTTGGGTTTAAATTCCCCCATGGAGATCTATAATGTATTTTTTGGTGAAAGGCCCATTCCCAGAATGTTCTCAAAGAATGGAAAGATTAGTACCATATATGGATCAGGGGAAGCTCTCCCTATTTTTAGATTCAAAAAATATTTGTCTTCATTTGGTTGTCTTAACTCCATTTCCATGAATAACTGCCTGGTGCTCCAGAAAATATTTTGGTTTGCCAAGATAAATTTACATATCTATAAGTAGTCATTTCTACAAGAGTGATAGCATTGTCTTGGCCGGTGGACAAGTGGAGAGTGATTTTTCAATGAGGCCTCTGGTCTTCCCTTAGACCCCTTTTTCTGGGGTGAACTTGGCACCACTCCGAATCAGAAGAAGTGGAAGAATCCATACCCGTAGCTGGAAATGCCAAAGTATGCTCTGCTACAAGAGAGGCAGATGGAAAGTGTTTAGGCAGAAGAACCAGCGTTGTGTTAGATTACGTGCCCTCTGTTTTCTCTTAATGATTCTAATATGAAACAAATCATCACGTCTGCTTTCTGGCTAATTTAACCAGCCATTCATTTCTTTTCTTTTTTAGTTTATTTATCATTTTTCCTACTACACTTTGCGATCATGTTCAAGTATTGTGTTGATGATAAAAAAGCAAGGTTCATAGGGAGAGAGTTCATCCTCTACTACTCCAGTCTCACGTTCTTCTTCACTCCTCTACTTTTAGGAATTTCAAGCCTTTGAAGCCTATTCCAACTGCAAGATAATAGCTTGCATCTGAAATAAAAGATACACAGTAGGACATAGGCAGATGGATCTTTGGTATATGAGAAAATAATTGAGAGATGGAGGGAGGACAGAGGGGGGAGGGAAATAAGATTTAAAAGGTGGGGTTGTGAAGTGCTGTGTATATGAGGAATGTGATCAGCATCGCCAAACACTACAAAGGTATAGAATCGGTGGTACGTCGGTTCACAAATGCTTTGCAAAAGTTTTGTTTTTGTTTGTAAACTGCACTGGGTGATAAAAATGACCACAGCCACCCTTCCCACACAAACACAAATGTGGCCATCTTTTCCAAAATTGTACAACAAATTAAGTTCATGAACTTGGTACCATTGTGTTGGGGAAAATTCATGCTATATGTATAGACTGGTGAGGGGCCAGAGTACAGGCTCCACAGCCCCAATGCTGGGGTTAACTTGCCTCAGGAACAGAGAAGTATGTATAAGACTGCAGACTTCCTGCCTATGTGGAAAGCCATAATCATAGCATCCCAAGGCAAGATAACTTTTCACCTTAACTTTTCCCTTTGAGGTGCTAAACTTGGTTCCTGTACCCACTCCCTTGCACCTGTTTCTGAATAATAAAAGCAGGTCCTCCTGGAGTTCATGGAAGCCTACCCACTACAGATAGATTTCTCCCAGCCCTTCATTGCGTGATGAATATTGTTTCTGTGTCTTTTATTCCCCACCGTTCTCCCTATAGGTATTCAGGGGTCTAAAGAACTGCCAATACCACTATAGATGAGAGAAGGGGTCAAGAGGTGCAAGGAAGAATTAAGAAATGTCATGTACACATTCCAACTCCCCACAATGAATGTAATCATTATGCACTACAAACACGTACCAATAACAATAAATAAGTAAAAGAAAAATAGTTTGCATTATTTCCTCTTCCACTTCCCTCCCATCCCCTGCAACTAGTCACTAAATACAGCATGCTAGGATTTCAGACTTGTCCTCTCAGTCTGTTATTTTCTTAGCCAGGTAAGAAGCTAAAGTGAGGCTGAATGACAGATGCGTGTCTCTTTTGAGCTGTAACTCTCCTAGTTTCTTTATGTCTTCTGAAGCCAGTTGGGCATTGGAGAACATCTGAACTACTCACAGCACTAGTCATCCCACTGCACCAGAAAGACACTGCCCTTTTTTCCCCACAATGGGATAAATGGCATTCAGCAAGCAGCTACTACAAAATCAACAGCTATTTTGGAATGTCACTGTGGTCACATAGTAGACTGAAAACATGAACTGTAAGGGCCACTCCTACCCACATTGAATTAGATGGCCAACTGAGAATGTTCTTCATGCCTTCTTACTTCCTTTACTCACTGCATTGCCTTGATCTCCTGGCTGGCTCGCCAATTATTCTAGAACAATATAGCCTCACAGTGTGAGCACTGGCCCCAAGCTGGCTTGTCATAGAAGAAAGACAGGCAAACAGATCTAGAATTGAACAGAGCACAAACTATTTGTGGTAGCAGCACCAAGAAGATTCCTATGATCTGGATCATAAGGTAGGGCCACAAGTGACTTCATCTAGATGTAATGTGCATGGTTTATCTTAAGCTAATATTGATGAGTCATGCACATCCTTGGCTTCATGGTCCAGTTGTAAGATTCTACAGACTAGTTTAATAATTTTGTCTATTTATAATCTGCTAGAAAACTATGTAGGCAAAATGAAGAGTTATACTGAGGCGATCACACTGATTACCATTTCAGATGGTTGTGATCATGTCAAACTGAGTACAAACAGTGATCTTCACTTCTGATATTAAGGGACTGTTCAAAATAAGGACAGCTTCTCTTTTGACTGGTAGGTATAACTGATTTCACCAAGCGTATAGAGACTTATAAAGTCTCTATAGAAACCATCACAGGGATACCCCAATGATTTGCGCAGAAGGAGAGGAGAACCTGGAGAAAATAAAATAATGGTGTAGGGAGAAGAGAAACATGATACTCAGGGATAAGGAAAGACCATTGAGGCAGATAGGGCACTTATAAGGTCAGGGACTTCCCACTCACTCCACTCCACGGCGACGGGGCTGCTCCAGCTCGGGTGCTCCACCCGGCAGACGTAAACCTCTCCGCTCCGAGGAACTGTTTCCAGCATGACCAGGGTCTGGAAGGTCCAGTCCCCGTTCCAGATCAGGCCTGTGGACACCACCCCGTCCTCCTGCTCCTGGCCGTTCCGGAACCACCTGACTTCAATGTGGCCTGGGTAGAAGCCACTCACAGAGCACACCAGGAGGTTGTGGTGCTGCAGTGGATGTGTCTTTGTGGGGTACACAGTTATGCTGGGTGCAACTAGAGGAGAAAAGGCAGAAAGATTAAGTCAGGAAGGTGGAATAATCCTTCTTGGCTGGATGCCTTTCTGCCTCCATCGGTCCCTGGGTTCAAGTACAACTGTCCCCCTCACAGGTGGCTATGAGACCTAATGGCGTTTTGTTTCTTGACTTGAATCCTTATACTAGGGACCCTCTGGATTTGAGAGACATGGGGAAAATTATATTTAGTTTTGTTTAACTAAAATTCCACCTCATCCCAGAAAGAGTGGCTACTATCAAAAAATCAACCAATAACAAATGTTGGCAGGGTTGTGGGGGAGAAAGGAACCCTTCTCCATTGTTAGTGGGACTGCAGACTGGTGCAACCACTATGGAAATCAATATGGAGATACCTCAAAGAGCTGGGACTGGAGGTTCCATTTGACCCAGCCATCCCTCTGCTGGGTATCCTCCCAGAAGAATTAAAAGAATCATACCACAGTGGTATAAGCACACCCATGTTTATAGCTGCACAGTTTGTAATAGTTAAAGCTTGGAAACAGCCCAATTGCCTATCAGTTGAAGACTGGATAAAGAAGATGTGGTTTTTCTATTAAAATGGAACATTACTCAGCCATAAAGAATGAGAAACTAGAGTCATTAATAGGAAAATGGATGCACATTGAGGCCATACAGTGAAATAAACAAGACACACATGTGTAAATACTGAAGTTTCTCTAATATGAAAAACTAAAGGTGTAAATAAGATCCAAATTGTATAACTGATTATGTGAAATAGGAAGAAAAGGGCTAAAGGTGTAGGGGAAGTGGGAAGGATAAGGGAAAGGAAATAAGGGACAAGAAAAAATATGAGAAATGGAAACAAAGTCTTTGTAAATAGGGGAGGGTGGAAGGAGTAAAGGGAGGGCAGGGGTTTGGGAAAAAATGAGAACCAAGACCTGTCATGTAAAGGCACAAGATCCCCATGATGAATGTAACTGTACTATATACCTAAAAAGTGCCAATAAACTCAATAAAAAAGAAAAAAATGTTTAGTTTTGTTTATATTTTGAAAAAATTATTCATTTCTGAATTGAAATGCTTATAAATTTTTGCAAAACATATAGTATATTAATTAGCAGTGTGATTTCTGGACTACTTGAGTTTAAATCCTGGATCTGCCTCTTACTGGTTGATCACAGTAATTTAGATTTCTTTTTGCTTCAGCTTTCTCCTATAAGGAGAATAATGATACAGATTTACGAGATTACTGTACCTAAAATGTATAAAGGAATAACTAGAACTTATCCTTCAACATATAATATTTATATTAATTATGCCTTGAGAAAAACTGTAGGGAACAGGGAAGGGGATGTTATCAGGACCTCTGCCAAGGGACCTGGCCTCTGAGCTGTCACAGCACAAGGCAAATTAAAAGAAGTAAAGAAGACTTAGAGTGATGAGGTGGGGTCGTTGGACTTGGTCGATGCTGCTGTTGGCAACAAAGATGAAGGCCCCCAGGAACACCCAGAAGTTATTGAATACAATCGTGGGAAGGAATGGGGAGCAGGGTGCGCTTAGAAGGCATCTGGTGAATTCCCGCCAAACACCTGGCGTGATGGCGCCAGGCAGGGCTGTCAGGGAGTGAGTACTGCTTATCGTGGGGACTGGGTACAACTAGAGTTCAACCCACTAGGTCAGTGAGAAGCCATAATTCAGGGGAGAGGATTTTAACTGGGGTCTCGCTGACCTCAGCTGTGCGGAACTTAGCAGGGCCCTGCCACTTGACAGACCAGGACGTAGGCCTCGGTGACCGCCATCAGCAAAGGAGCAACACTAGCCCAACTGTGTTACCTGAGATGCCCATTTGAGTCACATAAGGCTATGGTCTGGCTCCTGATATAAAACAATGTAAGTGCCGGGGATTTAGCTCAGTGGTGTCGCCACCTGCTTCGCAAGTGCAAGGTCCTGAGTTTGATGCCCGGTACCATAAATAAATAAATAAATAAATAAATAAATAAAATCAATTTAGCCAAATTAAGGAAAGCAAGAAGCACGCACCATTCATAGCCCATTTGTACTGGGCAGGGACGTCTCCTATGACAAATTATGACTCAAAGCACTGTGTATGGATAGATGTGAGCGCTGAGTCCCAGGAAAATCTGGAGTTCTGAGAAGAGGGGACAGAGTAAGGGAAGTCATCCTTCAAAAAGTTTCTGTGTTTACGTTTTGTTGATAACCTCTGTAACACGAGCACATGCATTATTAGAATTGTTATCGTTTTGCAGCTACTTCTCTTTCAGACACTTGAAGCTCGGTCAAGTCTCGAATGTGTACTTAATGCCTCAGCCTAATCTTGATCCAACCTCAAACAATGCATATTTTTAAACAGGATAAACCTGGGGCAAATATTTTCTTAAAAAATACCAAAAAAAGGTAGATTTAATATTGATTGGTTAATACTGACAATTTTGCAGAAATTTTCTTTAAATAAAAATTTAAA